AGAACCCCAGAAACTTTAGAGCACGGATGTCAAATTTGTGGCATCATGTTACTGTCATGTGATGTTTTGTGATGGGTTTTTGCTTCCCATGCTGGGGTGGGCGTGGACTGTGACACATCCAAGGAGGAGAATGTTGTGGTGAAGAAGTCAGCTGTTTTGAGTCATAAGAGTGTAAAGCAAGAGTCTCACACAAGGGACAGACAGTTTCAGTTAAACGGAGTCATTGTTCCTTGAAGCAGGTGCAGATGGCAAAGGTCTTGCTGGTTAAGGATCTGTTCCAAACATTGTAGCACTGTTCTGCACCCTGCGTGACATATTTTTAGGCTGCAAGGAGGGATCCTGAATCCTTAGCGGACTGAATTAAGGTATCTAAAATAGATGTGTTTGAAAAGTTTTAAACAATTGTAGCAACATCTCTCGCAAGAATTTATCTCATCTCATTGGAAAACAGCAGGCCCAATCATACCAAGTCTGCAGCTTGATTTGACGGACTTGTTTCAGTGTTCATGAAATTTGGCAGCTGTTCAGTTCTCTCCAACGTGGCATCAGCTTTCACAATACCCTACTCTGTGTGTGTGTGTGTTTGTGTGTGTGATAACATAAGGTCATCTTTTTCATATTATGTCTTTCTATATACATGTGTTTTCCTCTATGTTTCATTGCGTTCTAAGGCAGAACTATGCACTTAGGAGTTAAGATTTTTAGAACTGGCTCCTATTCAAAAAAGGAAGAATGAATGGGAAATTGCTACTTTACTTTCAGTACATCTTTCCCTTGCTTGTATCCTCGGTGAAAGGAGAAGAAATTGCTGCATTCTAGTATTTTCCATTCTCCCATAAGCAATCAAAGTTATCTCTCAAACCAGAAAGAACGTTGCTTAACAAAGCAGAGTTTTATCCTAGGTTCAGCATTACAAGGGCCGGGGGCTGCCGATAATAAATTCCCTTTGTTTCATAAAGTTAAACATCTTTGAAATAACCATATTTTTAAAATATTCTTATATTATAGTGAATGAATGTAATAGCTGGCAACTGAGCAATTAGTTACTTTAGAGCTTACTTATACTGAACTCGTTATTTCTGTCTGCTGAAATTTTTCTTCTCGTATGAAAGAAGGTTTGCAATCTTAACCTCATTTGAGATGCTTCCATCTTTACCTTTGATAGCATTCTTCAATTCATTTTGTTGCTCTGAGTTGGCAGATGGTACTGTTATTTATTTATTTTTCTGCAGCACCTCTTTGTGTCTCTCCACAAAAGATGCACAAGAGGAATCCCCTCAAGTTGTCTTCCACTAGAATTAATTTGAAGTGTGGGAAACTAGAGAAACTAAAGTCCAGGAAGCAAATTACTGTAGAGTAAAAAACAGAAGGTTCATAAAACTTTCTAACCCAGCTTGTTAGTATAAGAATCTAATATTGGGCATTTCAATATTTTCTCTTCCATTGGGGGAATAAAACAAAAGCAAATCTATTTTCCCCAATCTGATTAAGGGGGTAAAAGTTACTTTAAGGTATGTTGTGAACAATATTTGGTAGTTTGATTATGAGTGATATGAACCTGGCGGGCAAATTGAAAACTGCTGGAAATGGAGAAGTGGGCTGGATTGCACAGGCCCAGAACATTCTTGTTTCTGATTCTTTCAGTCCATACACAGAACAAATCCCCACACTTTGAACTTCCAGGTATTCTTCACTTGCTATTACCTACAATTATCTTACATTCTGGGGTGAAATCAACTTACCTTTGCAACCATTTTGCAAATGTGAGCACGTGTGAGCTCGCTTCGCTCTCATGCACCATGTCCACACATGTACAGGACCTTCCATGCATGCACAGATCAGACGAGATGATGTCTAGGTAGGTGGGCGGAGCATCCCACTGCCACTGCTACTGGTTCACCCAAACCAGATAGAACCAGCTGAATTGCACCACTGCTTCCATTTCTGTTGTGGCCCAGCAGGTACCGTTGGAGCTGCCACCAGACTCCGACAGTGATGGGCCCTCTGAGTCAGCTCTGGAGGATGTGGAGGACCGTGGACAGGGTTCCGACTCCGAGCAGGGCGCAGAGAGACTGGTTGGCCACCAGGNAGCCTTCCATCCTTCCGAGATGGGTAAAATGAGGAACCAGATTGTGGGGGCGATATGCTAAACCGCTTAGAGAGGGCTGAAAGCCCTATGAAGCGGTATATAAGTCTAACTGCTATTGCTAACTGCTATCTGTTCCAACAGGAACTGGAGTTGGGTGTTTTTTCTGGAAAGACTTTATGGTGAAATAAGAGTTTTCTATCAAAATATGTATGTGGGGGGAAAGGATTTAAATTAAATAGAACGAGATGGCTAGACATAAAAAATTGCCTACGATCTAAAATATGGTGACCACCATATCAAAATCTCTATGGAGATGAAATCTCCCTTTGACACCGAGGTAAATAACAGTACATTTGTTGCCATTGCTAGCTGCTCCAGATTGCAGCCAATCTGTAGTCTAACATGAATAATTGTCTTCTTACCTTATAGATTTCTCATTGGAGATCATACCGGCATGAATTATTATTGTACCTGGAACACTTCCTTCAGGCTCTTATTAAAGGATGCCATTTCTTTCCTCCTTCAAACAGAACTGAAACAATGTGGAAAAGTTTTGTCTCCTGTTTGATGGAACAAGGATTAATATCTGCAGGAACCGAAGACTCTGCATCTTGTCAATATTTAATAGATTTCATTCCACCCAGGCCAATATATTTTATTTTAGATGACAACTTTTATTATCGCAGCATGAGATATGAAGTGTACCAGTTAGCTCGCCAGTGTAAGTTGGATTTTATATTTTACACCAACAGTTCAACCTCACGATTGAGCAATGCAAACCGTATGTTGAGCCGTTGTAGTTAAAAGGGGTTTTTCTTGGTGAGCGGGGCTGAACTCAATTATATCTTTTGTTCTGTCCTACAAATCAGTGAAGTGCTGCATAGAACACCTCTACCAAAACATCTTTAGAAGGCAGTCATCCATGGTACAGGATGTCACTATTTTTTACATGGTTCTTGTGAACTGTTCTGTTGATATAAATCTTGGGGCATAAGTATAGAAATGGCTTTTTGCATCCTGATGGATGACCTTGGCTGGAAGGGGACCATAAATCTCTTGAGAGATGGAGAGTCAAATTACTTCAACTGCCAATAGGAGTATTTCTTTTCTTTCCTTTCTTTCCAGTTGGAGGGTGATCCTGATGAACTGCCATCCACTCATTGGCGGATCAGTATGCAACAAAGAGGCTAATGGTTAGGAGTTCCTTTGTGTAAGGAGGGGCTATTCCATATACATTGACGCTGTTCTTGAATCTGAGGTTGTCAGTCAATGGTGCTTATTGGTTCAGCTGTCTCTTGAAGGACATTGTGAAACTGTTCTATTAGTTAAAACTAATGATCTAACCATTCTGTTTCCTCTTGGTACTTAATTTAGGGGTTCCACCACAAAACCGCGGTCGACAAAAGCGCGCTCGACGAAAGCGCCTACGTGACGTCATCACAGCGCGATGAAAACATCGCGCTGTGATCACTAAATGTAAAATTAAAGCGAAAACCTTACCCTAACCCCCCCCAAACCTAACCCTAAACCTAACCCTAAACCTAACCCCCCCAAAGCTAACCCTAAACCTAACCCTAAACCTAACCCTTAACC